CTTCTAGTCCCAAACTAAGCAAAGCTTGTACTATGGGTACTAGACAACGGATATAAACATACTTAAATACTTTTTTTTTTTGTAAATACATACATATTATACATAGAAAACACCCAGTCCAATACAAACAAATATGTTCATGCACACAAATGTTTGAACTGTGCGGGAATCGAACCCGCTACCTCCGGAATAGTTGTCCGTTTCGAACCACTACACCAAACGGCCGACAATAACTGATGACGATGATTTTTTTCAATTGAAATTCTTGTCCTGTGGACTTACTGTTCACCTATTAGTTTCATTATTCGAGTGGTGTATAAGGAAAACCGCAGTACTAATCATAAATTGGGGTCGCTTTGGGGATTGCAGAAATAGGGAGCCAAAACTGGTATTAACCTGTTATTATACTCGTATTTAATGGACAGGATATTTACAGAATTCTTAGACATTTGAACACATAAAAAGCAATTTATGAATCTACTAATATATGTATAGTATGACTTTTATGTCACTTCACGATAAATTAACTAGGTAAATACTTACCTACCCACTTATTCTGAAAAGGATGTTTTGATTACGTAACGCTACCATAGTAGGTATAATATTGAGTATTTACCTACTAAGTATGCGACAACTTCCAATTTCTTTTTACTCTCCTGGAATAGATTTCTCTCCTACATAAGCTATACAGAAAAAGTTTTCCTGCTCCTATCAAAAAGCATCTTCGCCTTAAATTACTCGTCCGTCAAATTCCAAGAAACTGCAAGCTGCAATTGTGCAGAGAAATGAGTTATCGACGGACAGACGCACAACAGAATTATGTATATTACGCTCTTGACACACTTCGAGGGCTGCCCTGCGTTGTTTATGGGGAAAACGCGTTAAAGCAATACCAAGAAACATAACGCACATGGTAAAACTTTTAGCAAGTAGTTACTGAGTGCTTAAGTATTTAGCCTACATATACAAAGTATTTAAACACTGTAATCATGTTTTACTGTAACTGAAGTTCTAGGTTTAGATGAAGGCACATCAGACGTTTCAATTAGAAAGGGTTCCTTCTCTTTCTTGAAAACTCCCTTTTGCTGGACAAATTCCTCCTGCAACAGCCCTGTGATGCCTGCATCCATTTCGATTTCAACCTTCAGCAAGTCGTTGGTCCATCGAGTTAAAGACATGTCCACAGTTTTTCAGGTGCGTAGCCGCTACTGATAATTTTTAAGTCTAAACGGCCACAGAAAGTGTATTTCAACAATAAAAAAATTTAAAAAAAATGAACTTATATTGAGAACTTTAAGTTTGCATGGACCTTTACTATTTATTATCACGGATATTGCCTACAAGTTTCATACCTCTCAGAATTAATCAGAAAGATTGCACTAACTACAGATTACGTCAACATCGATTATGAAGAAAGGGCTCATGATTCATGGTGAATCCATGTCATTAATGAGCTCATGGCACAAAAAAGCTCTCAGTTACTTTTTGTAGAGTCAAAAATTGAGTCATACAGTTAAACGTCGCACTGATCTTGCTAACTAATAAATCTTACCCAATGCCACAGAGATATTTATTTAAGGTATGTACAGTTATAGTTACATAGAATAGGTACCACTCGTAATCTTTCCAGCGCCACGTCAAATACAAAAGCCATCACTCTGAAGCTTGATAAATTATGATATCAATATAATCATTGTATTCATTATTATTCACTTTACAATACTCAATTAGCCTATTACTGACATCATTTTTAAGGCGGATTAATCCGTCGTTGGTGGATATCCTGATGTACGCATGTATCCGTCATTGGCGTTGAAAAGGTTAAATTGTTCACAAAAGTGAGTACCTAGTTTCCTTTCATTTAAGTACTCGTAAATACATGCTTACTTTGTACAGTACGACTGTAATTTATTGAATATGGTAACAATATTGTGGTTCTGATTTTTCAACTGCTGAACGTTTGTAAATAAATAAGCAGTGATATACGACTGGTCCCATTCTCGAGGTTCCGTGAGCCATGCATATGATTGAATTTTAAATTAATTAGGAACAAAAAAACGAAGTGATTGCTACATGTTTAATCTGTCACCAATTCGCGACTGATAAGATGATGATTTTTCCACCAAGTAAATTCGCGACTGGTGAGATATTATATTTCTGTCTGAAAATATAGAATTTAAATTAGCTAAATAGTCCAGTCAATGAATGCCTTAACGACGGTGTAGAGAGAAATCCGTGGAACACAATTTCTGACCTCTGGACTTTATTTAGCCTAGTTAGGTGGTGAACATAGCAAAAGTCCCCGCCCTTAGCCCTTGAGCCGGCGGGGAGAGGGGGGTTTAAAGGTACCACTTTTCGGTTTTTCGCTTAATCCTCGGAAACTATGCATCCTAGTGACATGACTACTATGAACCAAAAAAAGCTTATTCAATTTGCTACAGGTGAGACCGTCAAGTTTTTCTATATCTTGTATAGTTTTTGCGGCATCTGCTCTAGAAGGTCTGTAAAATTCGAAATTTTATTGTTGTCTTACATGTTCCCATCAGGAGAAAACCGACTAAATCAACATTGAGCAAACACTATAGACATGCGGGAGCATGTTAAGCCTAGTTCCATGGAGGGGACTGCACCGTGCGTATATTTAGACGAACCAATTAGAGCCACTTTTGACTCCTCATCGTTCAAAAACTACTGTGCATTAACACTTCAAATTTGGCTCATGTATTGAGACTTGCAAGATATACATCAGCTTCAAATTTCATAAATATACCTCAAACGGTTATTTAGGTATTGACGTTCAAAAATCGATATTTAGAGCACTACTATCTATCTATCACATGTGAAATGTTAAAATTTACTGGTTTTTTATTTGTTCCTTTGTATTTACATAACTACCTTTCTGGATGCCAAGTTTGAACCTTCGAGGTCATTTTGGACGTCAATATCTAAAGAACCGTTTGAGGCATATTTATGAAATTTGAAACTGATGTATATCTTGCAAGTCTCAACACATGAGCTAAATTTGAAGTGTTAATGCACAGTAGTTTTTGAGTGATGAGGAGTCAAAAGTGGCTCAAAGTGATTCGTCTAAATATACGCACGGTGTAGTCCCCTCGCTGGAACTAGGCTTAACATGCTCCCTCATGTCTAGAATGATTGCCCAATGTTGATTTAGTCGATTTTCTCCTGATGGGAACATGTAAGACAAAAATAAAATTTCCAATATTACAGACCTTCTAGAGCAGATGCCGCGAAAACTATACAATTTATAGAAAAACTTGACTATCTCATCTGTAGCAAATTGAATATGCTTTTTTTGGTTCATAGTAGTCATGTCACTAGGACGCATAGTTTCCGAAGATTAAGCGAAAAACCGAAAAGTGGCACCTTTAAACCCCCCTCTCCCTGCCGGCTCAAGGGCTAAGGGCGGGGACTTTTGCTATGTTCACCTCCTAACTAGTCTAAATAAAGTCCTGAAGTCAGAAATTGTGTTCTACAGTTTTCCATCTATAATGCTTTATTGACTGGACTAAAAGCTTTATGCGAACTATGCATATTTGCACATAAGATACACCTGTCGCAAACTATGTTTTATTAAAGAGTCATTGATGGATAAACGTACCATTTACCTCGAAATAAAACGCCCGTCATCGCTCTACATTTCCCAACCGAACCCTAACATTTTTCAACGATGTCTACTCACACAATATTCACTCACAGAATATTCTATTAGCCGGTATATTTCGACTCGCGAACGTGTCATTAAGTGGAGCGACCATCTGCGCAATTCACTTACCCTTAACCCTAAGGTACAGGCGAGGGCAAAAGTGTTTACAGGAAAAAAACTAAAAAAAAGTTTCAACTCCCCTGACTCAGTCAGCAAGTAACATACAGTTAGCATGTTACTGGCTGACTGACTGTAAAAAATCATACAGTTGTGTAGTTGACACCAGTAACCAATAAGATACAATTTTCATTTAATTTTAGTCCTGTAAACTGCGTAAGTCGCTCGCAGAGTGGAAGCTGCGTACCGGAAAACGCAGCGTGGGACGTCCACCCACAAGTTGGACCGACGACATCATAAAGGTAGCAGAAAAGCGCTGGACGCAGGCCGCTACCAACCAGGTAACATGGAAAGCATTGGGGGAGGCCTATGTTCAGCAGTGGACGTCCTATGGCTGAAATGATGATGATAATGATGAAACTGCGTAAATTTGATTATTGGTGGCTTTGAAATCAATAAAATTGTCAGTCAATTAAGTTTGTGACCAGACGCGTCTAAGCTCCCATTGCAAGTAGCGTTCCCAAGTTCCGAGAGGAAATCATTGGGAAATCATGCTGCAATTATTGTATTAAAGAGTTGTATCTGATGATAGAGATTATCTTTATCCTCCTTTTTGTAAAATATTTCTTGTTTAAAAACTTCCGTCCGGAAAAAAACGAAATGAGTTAGGCTTTTTAAGAAATAAAGAATTGTGTGCGTAACTGTACACTGTAAACAAACGCATAAGTAGCTTTTAAGTAGCTACTTAAGTATTTTCTTTATGTGACAGTAATTCAGTTAGTTAATATGACTCCACAAGGCTTTCAAATGGTCTGATTAGATCATTTAAATAATTATTTTGATTGCTTTACTAATAAAATATTCTGAAGTAATTTCAAGTGCAATTTAAATTGAATATTTTCCGATTAATCGATATAATATTGACTTATTAAAATAATTGACCTCCGAGAACTGATTTTTTTTTGTTGAAACTGGCTGGAAACCAATTAAAGTAAAAAAAAGAGCGTAAAAACAAAACTTCATAAATTCGAAGATTCAAATTCCAAAAGAAAAACAAATGACATTCGCACATTTAATCGTCTTCTAAACACAGATATAAAATGAAATTGATTACGGTTTTGATTTTAATCAATCTCGTACTAGTTTCTTCAAATTCCTCTAAAGAAAATTTTGCAGAAGTGTTGACATCTTTTATCGCTCTAGATAACAGACCTACATCAGTTTTAATACCTAATTTGTGTTGGAGCCAATGTAAGTATGTACTAAATAAAATTTAGGCTTGGGTAAGTACTAGATACATGATAGGTAGGCGTATCAAGTATGTATTTACTTACTTACCTGCAGCCTACAAAATTAAAGTATTTTTGTTCATGTTCAATTTAAAAAATGACTTGCATTAAAATGCACCTAAGTGTCCTTCACACTTGATTAATTCTTGATTAACATAAAAAGTCAATTTTCAATGTTCTGCATGTTTTATTTTATCTTGTATTTATTAAGCTAACAGTGGCTTAAAATATTATTAAATATCGATCAAGGTTCTTTCAAATCGATATAATTTTTTTAGATACTATGACGTCAATGGCCAAAAGATTGGGTGAGGCTGGTCTTAACGTGGCAAGATCGCTGCAGAAAAATAGAACCGAGTTTTATTTGCAACATGCACTTGTAATGTACGATTTGGACTGCCCAGGGTCAGCTGGATTCTTGAAGAAGGTATGTTACAAATTTGCTTTCTTACTGAAGGAAGATTGCTTACACCTTCGGCCTGATCATCACTTTCCATCAGGTAAGATGCGAGCTACCCCGTTGTATGTAAAAAAAAACTTCTATAAATCAGTCTTAATTCCATTCCGGTAAAGGGATCAGTTGAGATTTCGTAAATTCTGATAGAATCCTTATCCTCGTATCTCCAAACTCTAGCTTCCTCCTATTTTCTTTGTTAATTTCGTCCAAGGATCAGACACTCTTATTTAACTTTCCCCCTAAGACGTTTGGCCTTTGCTGATTGTGCTTACATTGGTGGACTGTGGTTATGGTTAAACTGTATGACTACACATAAGCCGCAAAAGTGGAGACGAGGGACGGAAATTCCAACTGCCATTCACTGAAGATTTGACTAAAGATACCTGTCTTGGTCTGTTCCGCTTAAATTTATTGGTAATCCTTCTAGGCAAGCGATGAAGGCTATTTCAAGTCCCCCTACCGCTGGCTGCTTTTGGACTTGGGGAATAGTCACAGCATGAACGAATTCGAGGAGTTGGAGATGGTGGTGGACAGTGACGTGGTGGTCCTCCGGAAGATTGGAGACGAATATCAGTTTATTGAGAGTGAGTAATACTGAATGAAACCTCTTCTAAAAGATCAAACCGTTCCAAAATGGCCTAAATAGTTGATATAGATTTATGTATGTATGACGTATGTACATGAATTTTGAGGGTCAAAAGACTTGGGGTTGAGAATATTAAATTCAAATTGCATCCCTACAGAAGCTTCATGCCCATTTTCACCATTAATCCCTAATTTATAAGTGACCCCTTTGAAAACAAAATTCCTGTGGTGTGTTAAGGGCCTGTTAGCGGGCATCAGCATTTTTTTCGCGATTCGATGTAATGATGCTTAACATGTGGTCTTTAAAGGGCAGCTGTATGGTTGCAATAACAATAAATAAGAGCTAGATTCCATTGATAACTACATGCCTATACGAATAACATTCCTGTGAACAATACTGCATGTTATTACGATTGATCATTCAATTTATAATCCTCCATTGGCGTCGATTAAGCTGTTAAGCCGATGGCCAGCGGTTGATTAATGACAGCAGTTAACGTGATTCTGAACCGATGATTAGGGGCAAGTGTATAATTTATCAAATAACGCTTACACGGCGCTTAGGGTAAATGTAAATCAGAATAATTATCATAATTCTAGAGTTAGCTAAATTCGTAGTTTTCTTGCTCTACATTTCTTAGCTTACTCAATCAGGACTGCTAGATAGTTGAGGCTGGAGCGGAGAGCACAGGCAAAGGTCACTTTAATTAAACTATGCTGCCTAATTTCTCGCAAAAGGATCTGTCAATTCGACAGTCTAACTCATTTTACTGCTCTCTCATTTGTGCGCTCGTGAATTTCGCGCATATCATCAAGCTGATATCTATCCAATCTCTACCTTGCGATCTCTCAATATTGCAAAGGAGAGGGTTTAACGCTGCGCTTGTCTCTACTATATGTAGTTCTTCTCTCCAAAACTCGTAGCCTCAAATGCCTTACGTCACTTGATACTAAGTTGAGCTTGAATGAACGTGTGCCATGGAGCTTATCTTGGTATCAAGTGACGTAGGATATCTTGCGGTCCCCTCTCGTACTAAAAACCATAACTACCGCAGATCTGACCAACATAATATTACCATGGATCATTTATCATATCAATAACTTTTGTTCTAATTAAAATTATAATGTTAATTATAATGTCCTACTAACTAGCCCATGTAGCCGCGACAAAACGGCGTCCGTTGCAAAAAATCAGGATGAATAAAACCTCAAGTTCTAACTTCGAAATGAGTAGTCGCAAATTACTAGTTTGGCTTCAAATACCTAAAAACAAGTTTACATCCTAATCAAGCATCAAATTCCTTTCGGTTCACAGTCGTATCGATTATTCCTTATACGAATTCATTGCACATAGCTGCTAGGTATGCCAAATATTTGTCGAGTGTTTATAGACATAATTTAGGAATAGTTTTTGCAGCAGGTACTTGAATTCTAAATCCAATGTTGTCTGGAGGTGATAGAGATACGTATTCAGACAGAACAGTGAGTTATTCATATCATTTACTTACTATGCCTAGGATACAATAAGTTCTGGACTGAGAAAGAAAGAAGAAAATCCTGGCAACACACCTATGTTGTAATTATTGTAACTCATATAAAAATGACGACGACATCTTTACGTGAGTTACATAATATTATTATGTGCTCACGACTTGATGTTTCGGCTGCTATTCTGCAGCCCCGTGTTTCTTTATTTTAGTTGGAATGGAACGCAAAAGTTTATAAGCACCTGTAACTCCTCCGGGGCTGCGGATGTCTATAGGTTCACTTACCATCAGGTGATCCGTCTGCTCGTTTGCCTCCTGACCCATAAAAAAATCGAACCTCCACCACCTCTCACGAACTAGCTTCAGTTTAAATTCTAGAAAGATTGTCAAGGGGTGATCAAGCAAAAGCTACAGCGCTTCCATTAATGCCTCCATGTTCCTCTATACTTAAAGCTTACAAAAACATGAATCATGACACCGATTTGCAATTAACACTAATACTTATTCAAATTAGAATACGTTATCCAGTACTTATTGAATGTAGGTAACACCTGTCAGTGAGCTTTTAGTTAGTGATTACTTTATCGATGTAGACACACCTATTTCAGAATTAATTGCAATAACTGCATAATAAATCAATTAGTTATTCATAGAGGAGTGCCAGACTAAAGATGCCTTTAGGTAAATATTGGTAACTTTAATAAAACTAAGTTACATAAGAGGGAGGTAGGTAGACCACCTGCTTCAAACGCAGAGGTCCCGGGTTCGATTCCCAGTGGGGGCAGATTTTTTGTACGGGCATTATGCTGAGTGGAAGCCTATTTGGCAGAATTTTTAATTTTTTTTTATCGTATTAATTTTCTGTAGTTTGTTGTTCTAGTGTGCCAAATAAATGTATTTTCTTTCTTCTTTCTTTTTGGTAGGGCTTGTTCTAAGTCCGCCTGGCTAGTTACCACCATCTTACCTAAGTTTGTCGCCATAACAACAATGTTAACAGCATGGTTGTGTTCCGGCAGTTAGAGGTAAGATAGCCAGTTCCTCCGTGGTTGAGGATTCCGGGTGAAGCTCGCTTCCACCTTCGGCCTGATCGTCACTTACCATCAGGTGAGATACTGGCCAAGAGCTTCCTCGTTGTGGATAAAAAAAGGACCCAATTTCTTAATTACAGATCAAATGAATTTATTTATCTACGAGCATCTACGAGTAGCTCTCTTGCTTCACGTTGATTGACATTGACAATGGCAGTATTGAATTTGTGTGTACCACTAGGAATCAACTAGCTGTCCGTATCAATAGAGTCCAACTTCTTAGTTACGTTAGAATTAACATGGTAGTTATTGCAATATTGTAATAAAGTAGTAAACATTCTTAGAAACAGCTTCATCAAAACAAAACATGTAGTACTTACTTAGATATAAACAAAGCATTAACGCTACCGGATCAAATCTCTTTTTAATTGATTTCCTCGCAACAACTGCATGTGCTATTATTATAATTGATTACATGCGCACACCTTACAATACTATGTTTAGTATCTTCGTTGGATCTCACAATGTATTTATCTTAAGCAATAAAGTTCCTAAGCTAATAAATTGTACGCAGTAGCTATGACAAGCAAAGTTTCGAATGAAAAAAATAACAATAACATAGGACTAAAGACTGAAAATTAACCTACCTCTTTATTTCTGTTACCGGTAAACTCATCATCGTCATCATCATCATCTCAGTCATAGGACGTCCACTGCTGAACATAGGCCTCCCCCGATGCTTTCTATTTTGCCCGGTTGGTAACGGCCTGCGTCCAGCGCCTTCCTGTAAACTGCTTACATTGTAATCAATTTTGTTAGCTATTGGTAGATTGGATCTTGGAAAAGGGCCTGCGGAATGTTTTTTATTCCGATCTCAACATTTGTTGAAACATTTTTTAGAAGTCACAGGTTTCCGATCTCTGAATGCGTTATGAAGGCTTTTTTGTGCTACAATGATGTAATCATTTTATCACTAGTAGCCTGTTTTTCACTACACTCACTTTCAGATATTTTATAAATATTTTCAGCCTACAAAGTATCCACAAACTCTGAAGTCATCCAGACCCATCGGGCTACATGGCGCCCACTAAAATACGATTCCAGAAACTCAACCTCAAAGCAAAATACTTCCAACTCCATAGAAGAAGATAAAGTAACCAACGTAGACACTTCTAGCTCAATACAAGAAGTAAAAATCAACACAAATACTCCCTCAACAATCACTGTTGATAAATACGGAGTTATAGAAGATTACAGAAGAACCAAAGTGCTGTCTACTAGAAGACGGGATCTAAGGAGGCATACGCTGACGATGGTTAATGTTATCACTGATAGCAATGACACCAGAAAGCATTTGGATGACAGACTGTAAGTTTTGCTTTACTTACCATGTCCTTTATCTTTTTTTTTTCGTTGTCAGTATTCTCTTTTTTTTTAAGTCTAAATCGATTCTCGTAGCTCCTATTTTCTTCCCAATTGGTTATTTCATCGTATTGTGTCCAATGTCAGTTAGTTAAACTTTTCCCTATAGTTGATCATAGAGTCATAGAGCCTTACTCGTTATGTTTTATGTAAAGCTCTAGATCATAACTACGTAAGAAAGAGATGAAACAATCCGTTTTGTTTTATTTCGGTGTAAACAACCTGTAGTAAGTTACCAATGTATTCAGTAAATGAGTAACAATATTAACATCATTCAGCCTATGGCAGTTCACTTTTGGACGTCCCTGAAATCGTTGGTCCATCGCGGGTGGTCTCCATTCTAGAACCCGTTAACCGATATAATTTTAAATAACGATTTAGTACCTAAGTATTTTGCTCACCAGTTAATAATATTAATAATTAAATTCCAAGAAGTTAATAAGTAATAATATTTCAATTCTCATGCTAATTTTACTTGTCCAACAAGTCTCCACGATGGCACAATTTAATATTATTACATTTGCATAAATAACTAAACTTGTTTGGCAGAGCTTAATTTAATCAGTCAGTGTATAGCAACATAACGGATTATTTTCTACATTAATTAATTCTAGAGCAATTCTGTACCAGGCTCAGGGATTTTAAATATGTATAAATAACTCTTATTACAATCAGTTTAAGTTTTTCTACATTATTCCATTAATCACTAAGCTGTGTAGACGTCATCATGACAAAAATCATTAATCATACCAGACATTTTAGAATTACATAGTTATATTTTTATCTGATAACATCAGTTTGCTAATAACGTTGTACCCATGGACCTATAAAAAAAGTCGGACGGATTCTCATCAACAAAATACTGTGACATTAGGATACACCAGCTTGCCTGTACGTACAGGCCGGCACGCACACATTCACACCCTGTTACACCACTTCGAGTGCAAACTTCACACAGTTGACACATTTAAGCAGCGAAAAAACAACACGAATACGACATGTCTTGTGTGATGAAATTGTGTAAAAATCGTTCTGTTCGAACAAACAAAAATTAAGGAATCACATTTCACAGGCAAAATAATAATCCAATCACTTATTTCCCGACATTAAAATATTGAAATTAATTGAAATCAAACGTCATTCACTCGAAAAAATAATACGTCAAAGACAAGAATGGCTACTGGGTAACATCTCGCATTACCTCGGAGCAAAAAATGGCTACTGGTTAACATCGCGCGTTAACTTGGAGCTAAAAATGGGTCAAAGTTACGCGTCGTGTCACAACGCTTATAATAAAAATGTACGAGCACTTGCACAAAATAGTTGTTAAAACCAACCTTGTGTTGGGTCTAATTCTCGTCACTACACTGCACAACTTAAAATAATTACGTTTTTTGTCGGTAAAAACGTCCTGGTGACGTCACTTAAGCATTTTTCTTATACTGCGTGCGGTCGTTGCGCGTGCGCACAAAGGAATGAGACCGCTCGGACACCGAGCCCACAGCGTGGTAGGGGTGGGGTTGCCCGCTCTTTTGTTTTTTACTACTACTACGCTGAATATTGTGTGCGGATTGGGTTGTCGTACAGGGGTACTACATGGTAAAATAAATCTCGGAGGCGAAAGCAGGATAATTGATATAGATTTGTTATTTTTAAAGTAATGACTAGTTCATGGTAAATAGATCCACAGTCTAGAATGCATGATGGCCGCCGGTCAATATTTTTAAAGGAAAATAGTAATATTTCACTATGTAATAGTAAGTAAAGAAAGTAAAAAACACTCACCATTACTGCCGTTAATACTCGAATCACTCAAAAACACGTTTGACTTTGCATTTCACTATTTTTCAACCCGTTTCGCAACTTCACAGTTCTATTTTCTTGGAATCTCCATATTGACCACAGATTAAACATCAAATAATACAGTTTTAATTTTTATGAGGTTTGCTTTGCACCACGAGTCAACTGACATACTTTGAATGAAAATGAGCTCAAATAATGCGAAATAATTAAACTCAAGCAAATACGTATAAATGTAAATACTTAAGTATTTTCGAAGCTTTCATCTTTTCAATTAATTGTGAATAATGCCAATATTGGCAGTTGGCGCACTTAGAACTCAGTGTAGTTAGTACGTCACGTGACAATCAATGGCGGCAATCAATCATGATCGGAAAGTAATTAAGACGCTCTGATCACTGGAAACAGCCTTTATTTGGCACTAATTATAATAGGCAAACGAATTTTCATTAATTACGATTACTTATTGACGATTAGATTGAAAACAAATAGGTTTTAAGTAAAGTTTTTCATTAAATGTTTGTCACTTAATTTATTGTAGGAGGAAACTTCGATGTATGTAAAAAAATTTTCAAATGACTACAATTTAAAAAATGAAAAACTGTCATTTTTTCTGGGTTTGCAACTGACGGTGCAACGTTAAACTTAGTTTCAAAATAATTTACGATTGTGCAATCAGTTGACATTATAATGGCACACGTGACATTGGCGAAATCGTGGTTCCCAAAACCAGGACATTGCCGTAAAAAAAAAGAAGAAGGCTTTTGTTTACGGGGGTGTAATCATGTTTTTGCCTGCGGAATTTGAATGAATCACCCCAATCGTCACTTACCTCCAGTAGTTACTATTTTTAGACCATTTTCTTTACGCATATCCGAAAATTGGATGACTTTAGCGCCTATTCCGAATATTATAAACATAGCAATTTGTTGGCTAACTTTCTTTGGGCAGCAATCCACAAAATATGTTTATCATCTGTGGAAATCTAACAATGTTTAAAATCCGCATTGTGTATTCAGTGTTGCCTTCTTATAACGTTTTTCATCCATTGCCGTTCTATAACTGGCTCTATGCCCATGAATGATGCCATCACTGTCCTACTTTATTGGGATAAAAAAGAGTTATATTTGGATAATCTACAACATACTTACAATAAGGTGGGTGTTGTTGTAAGCAAAAATCCTTCGTAAAAAATTAGAAACTGTTGAAAGCGTAGCGAGCAGCCTTGATAAATATTCCATTCATGACACCTTTATTTAATTTAGTAATTAATGCGTCCACATTATTTGTGATTATCTTAGGGTCTCCACTTACAGCGCGTGTTTTGCCCTAAACAATCAACAAAAACATGTCAACATTTAAGAAAATTACTTTGAGACTGGAAACCACTCCTTACTGTCGGCCTTACTGTCTACGAACAAGTTAGTAATCTTAAGGAATCCTGCTGCCCCTAGATTTATTGTGAAGGAGCCTACACTTTTTCCGTAGTAAAGTTTCTACAGAAGCCTCGCGAGCCTCGTAACGAATTTCCGAAGGCTAAGGCGAAGCAGCTCCAAATCTCGCCGTAACGTGCGTGGATTTGCGATGACGCCTCAAGCGTCCATTCAATAGGTTTGTTTGACATTTCAACAACAAATTGGACTCAAGCGCTGGGATATAGTACAGGAAAAACAGCCAGTACTAAAGCTACTTTGGCCGACCCGGGAAAAAATAAAAAAGCGCTTTTTCTTCATAATATTTTTAATACTTATACTTATTCATTAAAATAACTTAATATGGTATTTGGATTTCATTGATATCTTCGTACCTACTGTCTTAATGGAATCTTTTGGTGGGTAATAAGTAAGCGGATGCAACGATCTATAAACAAACCGAAAATCACCAATCATAAAAGTGAACGAACATAATATATGAAAGAATAAGGTGCTCGTTCTTCTTTGTCCCATTTTAGTGCCCGGGATTCGTCAAATTTGATAAAGTCCTCGCAACAAGATTTGGTCTGTGGACTAATGGAGCCATTGAATCGGATATTTTAACCGGTTCCTCTGAGTGCCTGATCAGGATAAGAGAAAGAACATTTTGTTGCTAAAAAGGCCTTAAGCTGGTCACATTTCTTTACTTCTGATTAAGGGCACAGCCCTATTGGGTGTGAGCGACTATGGGCCGTTCTTACTGTAAATCTATAAAAATAAATCAGGACTGGAGTTAAATATTTCTTTAATTTTCGTCTGAAACATGAATTTTATCTATGATATCATAAGAAAAGTGAAATATGTATTTTAACGTTTTGTTGTTTTTGTAGACGTTAGACAAATTATCATAGTATCGCGTAGGCATGACTTTCATGTCCCTCGCCCTAAAACAAACAAACAGCAATGAAAAGCTCATCGAAATAAATATTAAACATAAGTTTCAAAACCACATTTTACAGACGATTTAGCAAACTGTTCACAATCAAATAGCCACTGAAATGATGCATTTAAATAACAAGTGCGCGGTTTTCGTGTTCTGAATTTATTAGATTTGCCATTTCAATAAGTGGGTGTTAGCAAAGCATATTCAAATAAAATATGTTTTATTAAGGTCATTTTCGATGATCTAAATGTATAAGATCGTTCCTATGCTGATTATTAAATTTAAACTTTTTGTAGAATAGGATATAGGCACATAATTGGCCTCATCCCCGTACCTATAACTTATTAAAGCCAAAAATATTTCCACACCAAGTATTGTTTTGTTGGCTATTTGTTTTATTGTCCTACCAGGAAGCTAAGATTGCAAGCTAAAGTCATTTTAGTTTTGGCGCGAATAGATCAATCATGACCTCCAGCGCAATACTCATAAATGGCGCCACTGCTGCACTGCTAGCAAATTAAAAAAAAGTTGGTATTTTTTATCTATACTTAGCTTGTGCGGTTTGCGCATTGCCAGTGTCAAAATATAAAACTAAAGTAGGATTGATCGGGTAAATAAATAAGCGTGTAAGATTTATTGATTAAGATGATTTTTTTTCTGGTTTGTCTATTAATATTTTTTTGTGAATTGATGTTATCCAAGAAAATATCTCTATCTTCGCGGCACACCACTTCAGAAAACTATACTTTACCACTTAATTCGCGCTCTATGGAATGACTGCATCGATACCT